TATATACGGTCAATCAAAGAACTAAAAATAAACAGAACATTGTTTTTTCCCTATACAGCCAACAGTGGTAATGTGCTACGACAGATAATTTGACGAATAAAGAGCATAGACATAGAAAAGTTACTAAACAAATAGGCCATTCGCATCTGTTTTCTAATACTGTGCTTTGAGGCTCAAAACAAGTCGAGGTAATGTGAAAATAAGAGGAACATCGAGCCAAAAAAGCGAAAAATGTTTATTTATTTATGTGAAGTAGCATTTTGAAAAATATATAGGCGGAACAAAATGTGTGAAAATGAATTTTAGATCCGATTCCGAATCGCCAAATCTACTAGATTTGTCGAATTGCCTAGTGACTGATATAAACTTAAAAAAATAGCAAGTTGATGAAGTTTATGCGCCGAAACTGTATCTGCAAATGTGTATGTATTTTCGACGATGAAGCGTGACATTCGGTGTGCTTTCTGTGGTATTATGTCATTGAATAGGCGTAAGAACCATATTGCCGAGTGCTGGAGTTCGCTTGGTCCATCCATCCATCCATCCATCCATCACGAAAAACACAAAAAATAACGTTCCGCGTTATTGATGCAACAACAATATAAACTAAACGTGAAAGAAGGAATCAATATAAAAAATTTGTATGTTGCGTTCCGGAAAAGTTATTGGAAAGAGGGGTAATGCATGTACTGAACTAAAAGACATTTTACTGGTTATATATATATATATATATATATATATATATATATATAACATGAAAGTATACAATAACAAGTTTCAACTAAATAAAAAATGATAATATATATATATATATATATATATATATATAGATATGCAAAATTTTTGTATTGATTTTATTTATTCTATGCTTCGTGATATCTGAATCTACTTATGATTTAATGGTATCGCGTTTATTCAAATCGGCGAAAATATTGTGATAAAGATAGGTAAACAATGGATAGCTCTAGCACAAGATTCTAGTGCATTATGCCATTATCACTTATCCTTGAAAAAAATAGGTCACACATCTAGATGGGTAAATATAATAGGAAACTATTTATTTAACAGGTGTTGGAACATAACAGAGCCCATTAATATAGTTGAGCAACTTATCGATTCTATAAAAATCTGTCGTAGTTAGAAGGAGTGCTCCATTATTGCGATGAGGAGCTTATAATATGCCCTTTGATAATAATTATCAATAATGATAAACTTTGATAAAAAGAAAAAACGGATCTGGCCTAAAAATGGCATATTTTTGCAAATTATCTTCCACATATCACCGTTTTTCAGTAAAACGTCCTGGGGGTGTGTGTCCGATAGTTCTACTCGTAATTAAGTAGTCGAAAGCTTAGGGTCCACAGGTACATCTGTGAACAGGGCTCGAATTCAGTAGTTCTCAGAAATCGGTTATTGTATCATTTAGCAGTTATAAATAATGCTCATAGGGCATACACGAGATAAGTCGTACAACGCTTATAGCTCAATAGAGGCTAGTGTTTGATTTTTCCCGGGCTCAAAACCTAGTTGATGGGACTGGCGGCGCGAAGAGCATAGAGCAACGTTCGATTTTTCTCTCCTGCTTCGCGCTAGGACAAAACAGATGTAAGTCCAATTAACAGGCATCATTATATCGTTTGAAGAGGCTGTGAATAACATAATTAGCCGTGAATCGTCTAGTGGTCACCTTTTGATCCGAACAGTAAATAAAGGTCATTAGTCAAATTAAATAGTAGCTCTTTGACTCAATAACGAATTCCAGCATTTGCTTCACATACGCTATTTAGCGCACGTTGATTGACAAGGGGCCAGTGATTATCATCTATCAAGAAATAAAGTAAACGCTTTCAATTTGGAACCTTCTCTGTCAAATTGGTAGCAGGGCTATGAAAGTGTCTAGTCGTTCTAAAACAATTTGCCTAGATTTTCCTACTTCGTTTGGATATAGAGGCGCCAGATTGGTGGCAGTGGCTTGTGTGCTAAAGAGATAAGTTCTTGGGTATGTATATATGGAGAGCAGTGTAGATATTTTTTCTACAATAATTTCAAATGTTTATGAAAAAAATATGCAAAGATATAATTTTTTCGATAATTCTAGGATGGACGTTTGTTTCGTCTGAAAAAAATTATTGCTATCTAGTTTCAAAGCCTATTCACTTTTGATATTCCAAGCTTTCACTGTAAAGGAGCCTATTCATAGATATAATAGCGCGAAATCTAATTTGGTGAACTATGTCCCGCTTCGGTCTTATTTACGGATCGAGTGTTGTTTACGGGGCATCCAATTGATATTTTCTTCATAGTACTTTTTTTTGCTGCGAGTGCTCTACCTGTGCGGTTTTTAGCCATCATATTGTTTGAGATACGATCTGTTTCATTGCGAAGGCCACATAACGGGTACGAATACCTACATAATATTTACTATGAAATATAAACATTTCGGATAAGAACTTTTATAACTGAATTGCACGAAATACTAATTTACGATATCAATATCATTTTAAGCAAACGTTTGTTGGTTTCTAAGTCAATAACAACCACGATTTATGTCTTCTTGTGTAACACCGATATTGTGTACTTCGTAATTTCGTCCATCTTGAATGCGTGCGGATGTTGTCCTCGTTCGAAGGCTAGGTAGGAATAACCGGCCAGAGGATGGGTCTGCTCACGAGGCTAGGCATATTATGTTTGCGGACGAAACAGATTCCACGGCTGAATTCACGAGGACTTCTGGAAGAACCGCGTAATTCTCGGGCGACTTTTATTTACGCCAGGTCGACATGGGCAACGCGCACGAATGATAATGTTAACATTTCAAACCAGACAACCCCAAAGGTAATGTATTGGTCATGATATTTCCCTGATTAGTTATCACTGACCACCAGTTCTGGCTATTAATGTGAATGGTCGTGACTTGATATTGATCTTAAAATTAAGTCTCTGTAGTATCCCAATTGTAGTTGGGATTCTACAGAGACTTAATTCTCTCTCTCTACCTTCTTTCCAAGACTAGCTTTCCACGTTTTAAAATTTTCTAACTTCAACTTGTATGCTCGAGGAAACAACGTTAGAGATAACGCCCTCAGTATAGTATCCGACAGGACCGTAAAGCGACATGAAGCAGTAGTTCTTATCTAACGTGCTTCATAAATTTGACAGTTTTTAGAGCTTAAAATTAAAATATTGTCGGTTCGAATTATAAATGCCACTGGTTTAGTATATGATAACACGTCCCTATGTATGTTGTATCTCTCAGGCGCAAGACATAAAAACAGTGTCACTGGAGCGTTTCGTCTCTGTATCACCGTCATGGTTACAGCCCTATCTACGATTAATGAGAATCGAGCGCCCAGTTGGCACATGGCTGACGTTGCTGCCTAGCTTGTGGGCCCTGACCACCGCGGCCCCAGCTGGTTCCCTGCCTGATCCCCGATTAGCGGCATTATTTTGTACGGGCGCTCTTTTAATGCGTGGTTTCGGCTGTACCATCAATGATATGTGGGATCGCGATATCGATCGCCAGGTCGAACGAACGCGCCAACGACCTCTAGCTGCGGGTCGTTTGTCGCGCTGGGACGCTCTTTGGTTTGCCGGTGGCCAAGCAGGCCTAGCGTGCCTTGTATTGTTGCATTTTAATTGGAACACGTAAGAAGCATTTCCTACGCGAATTACGCTTTCGAAAATTATAACCTTTCGTACAGGTTTGAGGTAGCGTGTGCCGTCCTTTTGTAAAAATGTTTGCACTTCACAACTATATCATAAAGCCCTATGAACGTTTTGCTTCCAGAGCTAAGAAAAGTTCCCTGAGTGTTCAATACTCATATAAATTATTTGTATCTATAACTCGTGACATTGCAGAGTAATGCTGGGTCTAGCCTCCGTAGGACTTGTGGTCATCTACCCTGTTATGAAGCGATTTACGTATTGGCCACAAGCTATCCTTGCCGTAGTATTTAATTGGGGAGCACTGCTCGGGTTCTCCGCAGTTCAGGTGAGTTGTCTATTATAGATGAAAGTAGTGAAGATATTATTTTCTGTCGATTGAATTTTCACTAGAGCGATTAACAATCAATAGTTTTTGTGTCATATGTTGCAAATGAAACAACCCGGCCATACGTTCAAGGTACAGATTTCCATTGTCCCGCTGTAGACTAGCAAGCTTTTTTTTATTTAAGACTGATATAGGCTAACTAAAGGTCTAAAAGGGGCGTTTCAAAGCAGAGGTCAAAGATCATTGATTGTCCTCATAGACAGACATTATTAATAATAGGCCTTAGGAAAGCAATGTAGTAATACAAACAGACCTACATCTTTTCTGCTATTCATATAAATGTTACACAAATTGATTCATGTTACTATGATATCCTGGGTATATGATGTGTAAAAAAGTGTTAAAGGCTAAGCAACTGTGTTAGAGATTTATAAACTTATTAGCCATTTTTCGTCGACGTCAGTGTGCATAAAATTCATGCCTTCAATACTGAAAACAACCTTCAGAACCAACAAAAAAAAATAATAACAAATACAAGATGGTGAAGGATAATCGTAAAATTTACGTATAATTGCAATGATTATTTGTTTTTACTTGTCTTTTGACTGAGCTTGCTTTTCTCTTCTCTGCGTCTCAGTTAGTCTCCTCATAAGGCTAACGGCGTTAGGTTTCCTGACGCACTAGCAATAAAACCTGGACTTCACCTGCATTGTTACTGTTACCATACTTGTCTCTATTGTCTAACTACGCTTGCCTAAATTTAGGGTGCAGACATGAGTTGGACTACAGCGTTACCTATGTACGCAGGCGCGTTCTCTTGGACACTCATCTATGATACAATTTATGCACACCAGGTTAGTTAAACGTTTTAAAAGCGAATTATACGAATGTATGCAGAATTCACTTATAATATTTATAGTCGCTTATAAATGAGCAAGATACTGTTGTACTTAAATCCGCTACTTGCTACACTAACAATGAGAAATAAAAAGAAGGAGTGAAGTAAAATATTAGCACTTGAGGTATACTCAGTTACGTTTGAGTTTTTTAATTCGGCAATGTTCAATGTTACTAGTTTAAGGAAAGATACTGTAGTAATGTGGTTCAGCATTATGACTTTTTTATTTGACATTTATTATATGACAGCATTATACTTTACCTAACCTCAGACCGACGTTTTCCTGAATTTATACTTCACTAGTCGACAAGCACCGATTTTGTAACATTTTTTTAAATGTCGCAAAATGTAACTGCTTTATTTTATTTATATTTCTTTTGTAATAGTCCTTTCTAAAATGTTCCTTTTTTTCGTCTTGAATGACCATATTTTATTAGCTATCTCGTTGACGTTGCTAACGATCTCCCTGAATGAAAAATAAATATTGTCATACATTTTTTTTAATACGCTGTACCCGATTTTACGATTGGTTGTAGGATAAGAGAGACGATCTACTCGTAGGGATGAAGTCCACGGCACTGCGATTCGGTGCACGTACCCCTCTCTGGCTAGGTGCCTTTAGCACTTCAATGACAACTGGACTCATTGTAGCCGGCATCACTGAAAACATGGGCTGGCCGTATTATGCAGCTATAGCGGCTTCGTCAGCTCTTCTTACTAAGCAAGTGAGTTTTTGCTAGAATTTGGTCGGCAAAGGGACGTATGAATTAATACGTTGCCGAAGAGTTAGTTAAATCTCGTAAGAGAAAGGAGTTAGCTTGCTTGCTTTCCCTTATATTGCATATAGATTCGTATGAAGCATTCCTTGCTTTAGCTAGTTTTGAATGGACGCGCGAATTGTATTTTCAGTAAAGATCTCTACCTCTCTGCAATAAAATTTTGCACCAATACCCCAAAATATACAATATTAAATTTCCCTTAGAAATCTCATCATGAACAGAAAGGGTAATCATTTTTGTTCTGGCCAAAGTTAGTGGTAAGCTTGCAAAAAACCAGTGCCATCTCATGTAAGGTAAATATTTGTATCGTCCTTACCCATTATAGGGCATGGTATTATTCAGGTGTAACCGTTACAAAGGAAGAAAGGCAAAGATATGATAAAAAATTTACCCGTCAAAATTCAACCCTAATGCATGCAGTAACTTTGACCTTCGCAAACTTAATTCACGAGTTTCATTATTAATTAATTAATTAGTTAATTCACAGTGTATGTATTGCTGTTTCTGACATGCCCACAGGTAGCAACACTGAAAATCGATGATCCTGCTGATTGCGCTAAGAAATTTGTGGCCCATCGAAATATTGGACTTTTAGTACTTTTGGGCTGCATAGGAGGCAGTCTGCTTAAGAGCGTCTAACGATAGCGTTCTGTCTGACGTCTGTTAAGACAACGAATACCCAAAGAGCATTTATTGGGATTATTATTGTTATAATTATGCTTACCTGTTATATTATAACTATGTTGTGACTTTTACCCTCACGGTTGAAAACGACGGAGCTCGTGGCTGTTTTTGCTCTAACAACCCCGATTCGTTTATTAGGAGCGACAAAGATGCATTGAAAGGGTCAGTCTACAATGCGAAATGTATTGTAGACTCACTGCTTTCGTTCGTTTCTTGACCGAAACTGTTGTTTCTGCTACTGTCCAGCTAAGGATAATCTATTACGAGCGATAGATCATTTTGAAACGGCGATTTTCTGTTAAACACGCGTGCTGCTAACTATGAAAAAGCAAATATCCGTAAGGAGCGATTGAGACTGTTCCAGCCTTCTCTGTGCTTACAATGACAAGAGGCACAATGTGACACGTGTGATAAAGTGAGCCCCTCTAGTCATAGAATCACTCCGCGAATGAGAACATTCCAAGGACGGGTATCACTATGAGTTTTATTAATGTATTTATAATAACTGACTGGCACGAAAAGTAATAGATATTTAACGAGCATGAAATGCCCTCGATTAGACATAGCAGTTAAAACAACTTAAACGGCTTCACAAAGGCCTTTGAGGAATCAATGAAGGTGTTTTAAACACGGATGTGATAATAGCTGCGCTCATATAAAGATTTAGTGGATAAGTCGTAAGCTTTTGTAATAACTATATTTATACAAACACAGTAATAGAAGCACCCAGTACATCAGTAGTTCCTCTGAAAGTTAAATAGAGTCTTTTTACACTGACCGGCACTTCAATATGCGGAACAGACAACGAATATAGCAGTTGGTTGACAGTGTAACTGTGCTCACCAACTATCTACTTTTAAGTTAGCGTTAACCTGAATAAATGAAATCCTGAAACTTTTTTTCAAAAGTACCATGAATTAGTAAAATGTTAATGAAGCCATTAGATCAAAAGCAGATGATTAAGGTAGGTAAGTTTATCCTTTTAATTTGTTAAATGTCATATTAACTTTTGTTTGCAGTAACATATTGATCACTTACTTAATATGCTGAACGGTACATTTATTTCAAGTAGGTCAAGTTTTCTTTAGGTTGGCGTTTCTGTTTACAACTTCCATAATGGTCTCAGTGATATCCTCGATATCATTTTGCATCTTATAACCGTGAGATTCATAGGTGGTATATTATTTTTAAGAATTTTGTTTATGATCTTAATTAGCGCATCGTCAAGGTAAGGCTAAATAGGCCTGCCATCAGCCGTATGATTAGCTTTATATATCTAGTGAGATATCTGGTTATAATTAACAGGCATATTATTTTTGACCATTACAGCAAGTAAAGCGGCAAAGCATTGGTCCGTGCCGTTCTTGCTTACGTATTTCTCTTGTTTTATATTTTAGAAGCATATTTTCAAGTAACTTGTTACTTGAAACCGTATGCTACCGCATTTATTAGGGACCAACATCTTACACTACAATTAGCAAATGGATGAGGTGGAGAAAACGTTGCTTTTTGAAACCCGTTAGTGCGCTCAATTGCGGACTTGATTTAAAACAATTATTATAGACAGTAAATAAAGTTTGCAAGCTCTCTTTTTACCACTGACAAAATAAGAACTTGTTTATATAGAAAATATCGCACACATCGGTTCGAGACTAGTTGTTCGTATCAGAATGCGTGCGAGACTGCGTTAGCGGCTACCAGAAGCTTATAGCTCATAATGTGATTTGACTGATCGCAAATGAAAAATAAAATTATCTACGCGTTTATACGACTTATTATTTTCCCAGAGGTAGGTACATCATAGGACGGCTCTTTTTTCATGTCATAGTACAATATTAAATTTTTTACTAGATGAAGCTCTGTTTGCTAGGGACGGCACGATCAGTATTAAGCACTCAGCTTTTTTGTGCCTCAACGAGCCGTTCTTGCCTACGACGTAAGAGAGGTTTGCATTAGATGTGATGTAGGCAATGAGGTATTACTTGGTGTATGTTTACCTCTTAAACGGCCTCTGACAACTGAAACTGAGAAAAACAAAGTTAATAGGCGGAGGCGGCCTTGGTAAAGAGGTATAGCGCAGCTTTTACACTGCAAGCGACCAAAGCGCCAAAAGGGTGCGCGTCTGCACCGCCCGTCATCATCATCTTCACCACCTTTGCTATGTAACAGACACACAGACAGACAAAGGCATATATAGAGAGTCAGTTCGTCTTCAGAACATAACACCAGATCGGTCGGTCTTTTTTTCTCTCTTCGCTGATAGCAAGGAAGAGCCTGTTTCCTTTCACTCTACTGTATGCTCTAGTGAACCAATCCGAATTATTGTGAGCACGTTTATCCGAGCACCTGAGTATGTTGCCCCGCCTCTTCTTAATCTTTATCACTGTTGAAGACTAGCGTTCTACCTGTCTTTACTCCGCATATGGCCTAAACGTATTCTTGTTACTGCGCTGGTTTGGCGTTTCGTGAATTTGCACTTGTTATCTGAGTGGCGGATCGTCTTCCGTTACTAAATCACACAAAGATCTACAAATAAGGCTACCCCCATGATGGTCGACGGGCCACGTTATCGCTAGCATTTCAACAATGAGACTATTCTACCAGGTAACTGCGGTTACTGAGTGTTTGTGGCTGAATAACGGTGAATGGTCGTTCGAGTGGTGGTATACACAAGTTCGTGTTGTATTTAACAACATGTCTGTTTTTTTTTAACTAGCGAATCGCGTTTTGTTCTAAACATGTTTGCGTGACGGTGTATTCGTTGATATTCATCAGTATCGGAATTTTTTCGTACTCAGTTGCTACAACGGAAATCCTGCTGATGTTTAAGTCGTCGGGCACGTGAGTGCGCTCTGCGATGTTACGTTGACCCGTCAGAGTTGAACAGTCGATGTATCGCGGAGAAGGATGCTTCACTGGGATCGCCTCGCGATGGTGAGTTACCTGAAACGGTTCGATTATGCTATGATATACACCAATCTTCGATCAGGAATATAGTCAATAATTCTCAAGTATTTTGGATATCGCGATTTATAATAGGCAGTTTCCAGCAATCGCAGACAGATCACCGATGAGATCTTAAAACTTAGGATATGCGCGAATTTCAAAATCCGGTTTTGTCAGCGGACCGCTATAAGGGATAAATATCTAAATGAATAATTATAAGATATCCAGAGAGAGGGATGTTCGGTTTTATTCAGAAGTTACATAAATATGACTACTACTAAGAGAACTCGAATCTTCAGCAACAAGAGGGGACGCTCAGCACATTGGGATATTACTCATTTAGTTATTTATGAATGCCATACAACTGATAAACTTGAGTAAACATGACCAATTAAGAACACAAGAAGGTTTATAACATCAAAATATATTGCCTTTCATCACAATAGAGCTTTTGTCAATAGGAGGGATAGAAACGGGAAGTCTGAGACGTGGCTTTTTGCTCTCAGTGATGAACAAAGAATTTGAAATATGGGAACACCGTGAAGTTCAGACAAAGTGTTTTTTAAAAAGCATTTTTTTAGGTGCGCAATTGAACAAAATTTAAAGACGTAGAAAATGTATGCTGCGCAGATTAGCACATTTAATAGACTTTCATAGACTTTTTATTTACTGAAATAATCCGCCTACATATAGAGTGTATCTTAGGCCACATGTAGCTTTACGGGTTACATAAATACAGTAGAGATGTTAAGGGCTCTAGCTCCTCATGGCATCCAAGTTGTAATTTCCACTCACATCAACAAGACAGAAGTGGTGAGAGAGTTGACAGCCTGTTATGCTGGTTCTTAATTTTAATACAATAATTCGAAATGTAAAAGGTTTCTAGCGCATGTTGACATACCGTAAACTTGCCATTTAGTTAAAAATTCTTGTTCAAACGTTATACATGCGGCCAGCTTTTACCCAGCTGTTGTTTTTTTTACAGAATATGCCCATTTATGCATCATTCCTGTGTCACTAATGTATGTGGCATGTTTGACATGGTGGACTCACTCAGAATAAGCCTGATGAGGCACGATTGTTATTCTGTTAACAGCAATCTGCATGACATATTCTATGGTTATCTGTAGGTTTTACGTATTCTGTGACACGCACTTTCTCGGAGAATGCCACAACCATAACAAAGGCAGTTTTCGCTCCGTCGAAAGCGACGTTCAAGTCCGCTGAAGGTCGGATAGCTATTTCAACCTAGTGGCGGAGATAGGCTGAGACCTGACTCTTTGCGTTGTTTCATCGTTGCCGATGGGTGCATTTCAAAAGTTATCCGATGCCTTCTAGCACTACGAATGCGTGCTCCTCTATGTAATGGACAATGTACAGTGAGACACTTAGGACGATACAGAAATAAATGCCATTAAACAAGCTGGAAGATAGTGTCAATTCCAAATGTTTATTCGAGCTGTTTGGTGATTTACATCGATGCTTGAACATGCAATCAGTTACGGTAATCTAATACCTGTGAGAGACTCGTGAAAGGGGTACTTCCTAATGCCGTGGTAGATTCGCCAAACGAATGAAATCGGAAAAACGGTAAGCGCGTAAATAAATATTTAATAAACTGTATTGTCAGTTACAAGTATGCTATATGGGCGATTTGGGACTCTGAATGTAACTTCGTCTACGTCATCTGGGAAAAGTAAAACCCCGGTTTTCGTAGAACACAGAAGACGGTTACTCTTTCACTGTAAGTCGCTTCTCCGTCTGCTTCACCGGGCTATAACTAACTGACGCCGCAATGAATTCTGCGTACGATTTCATGCCATATCAGGAATTTCTGGTATAGAAGGTTGGACAAACCATATACATCTAAAGCGTTTTACTGGCAAAAAATGATCCGCTTGCAGCCTTTGAGTATAGACTATAACTTCCGAAAAGTCATATGCCTGCGTGCTTATGCACCATATAGCGCCTAGAACGTGCACGCTAGCTGAAAATTCGTTTTCATCCACAAAGCGGGCATCTAGATCGTGCGCAAGGTAGCAGTCGTCACTGCAATTGATTTCTGCATTTAACAGTGAAGATTTTTTCACCGCTGGAAAAGCAAGCATGGTCTGGCTGCTGGGTTCTTGAAATAACTCAAAAGCAATCAACTCCGATTGTGCATTTTATTTCTATTTCATATAGAAGGTTTCTATTTGAGTTTGCTAGAAAAGAAAAATTCGATTAACGGTAGGTTTAAACGTATTATATTTAGCCACTAGGGAACGCATTAAGAAACCAAAATAGTTAGAAATACATATCAGCACCTTTTTAATTAATTCTGAAATCCTTATTGTGGTTTGCCTCCCATCTTCTTCATAGAAAGATACTTTTGCCTCTCGATCGGCTACGTACTCAGTAAGAGATAAATGCAACAATAGGTCAAACCGCCAGCAAAAGTATGTCTTAGCATATAGCTGCTATTTTGTGCGTATAATTACGGATACATGAAATGTGTATGACATAAAGGAAATCGAAGAAGCATACCAAGCCTCCTAAAGAAGCAATGGCAAGACTATGTCCTGCATATTATCATGTAAAACGATTCCTATACGTACTACACCAGTATATGACTGTTTAGCTGTCCACGGCCTTTATAGAGGTCTCTGTGATAATTTAGTGGGTAACGCATTTGCCCCCTAATCCTAGGAACACGTTGTGGTCTAGCTTCAAACTCGGGCATAGACAGACTTCACTTCGTGTGAGAGTCAGCCGTCTATTTAATAAAACGCCCAACGGCAATATTGGATGTAAAACTTAAAACACAAAGGTCTTTATAGAAAAGCTAAGAAAGACTCCTGACCAGCAAACTGCACGACGATTCGGCCTGTTTGGTTTCATCACCTGCTTCAAAAATGTCAGTATATAATACCACTATTTTATTTTCGTATTTACGCATAAGTATTCGCAAGGATACTGTTTCTGGTAGACGGAACCTCCGCATTGAATCTTTTAGGAAAAGTGGAGTCTCCTACTATTAGTAGGTCAATTGACTCAGTGCAGTGAGCTGTTGGCTTAGAATTGGTTGGGAAACCTTGACTTATACGCGGCCTGGACAAAGCATCCATCTCACGATTAAATTTTCCTAAATCAATAAAAGACCTTACTACACTACAGGAACATAAAGTAAGGCCAGTTTTAAGCGGCGATTCGAAGAATTGCTTCTTATCTCACTAGTAGCTTCTGAAGGTGGAACGAAGGTGGAGCAGGAGAAGGAAGATCAGTTCTTTGCTTCGTAGCACTACCGCATGTGCTGTCGCAGTAAACCCGCCTCGACAAAACCTTGTCTTCATTTTCTGTACATTAATTTAGAGTTTAAGTAAACTGTACTGGTCTTTAGGTGTGGTCAGAAACTAATGGAAGTGGAAGTGATTTCTACCAAATAGCCCCAAATCATCTGTACAGTACAGTGCGCCATCTCTCATAGGATAATGATTTTCACCCAGAAGGATCATTAATGGGCCAAGATTGTCCCCCCCCCCCCCGTCGTCTGATTGAAAAACCCCTGTTCCGAAATGCCATCGTCGGTGGTTGTTTGGGTCTCTTGTAGTATATGTAATGTGCACGAATTAATAAGTTATTAAATACGCCACTTGAAATTTCTGATTTATATGAGTAAGCCGTTAACTGATATAGCTAATCAGATACGTATACAACACAATTCCCCGTTATACCTTCGTATAACCTGAGCATTACGGTATTGGCGCGCACCTCCTGTCTTATGATTCGAAATATCGAGAAAGAAGATGACGCATTTCGGACGTCAGCTCATGTGTAGGCCTTGAGGAGTCGTATTCCACGTTGCTTCATTTACAGCTTTAACACAAACGATTCTGCTTTAAAATTATAGCTGTGTTTGTATTTTATATAATCTCGTTGTATGAATATCTGAAACAAGAAGCTATAAGAATGAATTATGACGGTTAGCGGAAACAGACAAACTGAAGAACATTTATTTCACTGCTCTCATTGTAATTGTCAGCGCGCTTCTGCCATTTAGTTTTTGTTACTATTAGATCTCAGGGTCTGCTGTCAATTTACCAGGGAAACCCCAACTAATTTTATCGATGAAGACGTCGAGACCGACTTTAAAGATCTTTTTTGCATGTTTAGTGCTGATTTATTTATGTACTTTAGTTATATCTCCTCGGATGTATTTTTTTTATTAGAAAAGTAGTTTTACATAATAAATGTAATAAAAGATGGACGAAACGACAGACCGTAAACAAAACCGGCAACCTGCGTCAGTAGCTATCGATGAAAAATCAAAGTAACAAAGTGTAACGAGATTTCAACTGTCTTATTTTAAGCCACAGTTCTAAAGATATCATTATGTAAACCCATTAAACTGGATCAAAAAAACCGCACTGATATTGTTGGAGGAAAAAATGTCCATGTTCCTGCTTGAATGCGCACAGCTAGTTCATAGTAAAAGGTCAGTCGTTTCTCCCCAGTAATGTTTTGAATGATATCGCATCCACTGATTCGTTGTCGAAACATGTAGTGTGAAATATCACTTTTAGAAAACCGATTTATATCTGGTCAATGCCCTATTATAGTCCCATTTGATAGCACTTGTTTTCCACTCGCAAGGGAGCGTAAACCATCATCAGTGGTGTGATTCCTTTCTTCGCTGCCCGCTATTGTTATTCTGCGCTAGCAGACAGCAAAAGTATTCACCTACCACCATAACAAACAGAAGTCTGTTTGGACAGCCAGTCAGGTCAATGAGTAGTAAACTAACTAGCAAGTCAAGTCAACCAGGAGGAAGAGAGGGACGACGAAGAGCCAGTCGTCGCTAGCGGCAGGAGTCGTAGAGGTAACGTTAACAACGACCAGCGCAAAAAGATAGCAGTAAAAAGCTTATCATAATACACAGCATCTGTATAGAAAGCAACTGGCACAGTTAGATTACTTCTGCTGTTGATTGCTATGTGAATGAAAAGACGACAGTGGTATTTCGCTGGGTCGATCGCTGTTGACCGCGTTACTCGTTGATTTACTGAGCTGACTGTCGGTGAATATCGTTATTGTCGAGTATATTGATTGACTGGTTCTCTTCGGCCAATGTAACTTCAGCTGAGATACTGCTAGCTTCTGCCACTATTTGACCGTCTCCGTAGGTTCGCCTGTGAAAATTGACCCACTCTCTTCGATATATTGTGGATATATAGCCTGTAGGCTTGTGTATAGAGTTCCCTGTACACGTCGGACCTTTCACGATTTCGCACAAACTCTACGGCCAGCTGAACACTGACAGCAAAGGATAACTCGTTTGCAAATAAAAGAAAGAGTTTTCGGAAAAAACGTTCTAAAGCAGTAGGATCATCTAGCTACTGAATGAATAATCTACGCGCTTGATTGTGTGATCAATTTCGTAGTGTATGGGCTTGACTGCGCTACATTGTTTCGCGGTTTCGTCTTTTGGGACCTATTCGAGTACGTCGTAATTTACTGCACAATCACTAGATATAGAAACAAATTTGGTTTATGCAGCTGTGAGATTTATAAAACCGACCTGAACGATTTGCTATTTCTCTTAAATATACAACACATTTCCGCATATTGTCTTCGAAGATCTTATTTCGTTCTTCTTTGTAACTAATCTGCAGTCCGCGGTGTTCATCGATTTCGGACGCGACAGTATTGAACTTGCATCTGCAGTGAGTGCGTGTAATCAGATCTTTTAAGGGATGCCGTAGCCAAAACGGAAAGACGGGCTGGCGAAGGCGCCTGGGTGGGGGGGGGAATTAACGATGAACGCGTTTCGACGGGCTCTAACTGGAAAAAATGAGCCCGAGAACGGCTCTGATGGCGACCTGGCAAATCTGTGTCGAGACGATGAGTTAATCGGCGTTCTTGATTCAGCCCAGACCCGACTGGCTCTCGTGGAAGAACTCGAGACAGTGGTGAACGTAGATAATAGCCTCAACAATGTTACGGCTCTTGCCGCAACCGTACTGGGGGCCGGTGTCGGCGACGGCCCCGGGGGTCCACCACTTTTGGCCGCTTCAGCCGGACCCGTTGTTGTAGGGGGAACAGCTACAACCGGCCTCAAGGTCCAACACCAGCACCATCACCATGGATACGTCGGTGAAGATCAGCTAATTGGCGATGTCGCTTCTTCGGAATCGACTTCGCTTCTCGACGATTCAAGCGATGATAGTGGCGCAGACGAGAATAGTCCAGCACCACATTGCCATCAGTCAATGGTAGGAGCATCAGCTGACGAACCTGGAAAAGGTGCTACCTGGAAATTGTGCTGCGCGTTCGGCCTCTGCTTGTGCTTCATGATCGCCGAGATGATAGGTGCTTACATTTCTAACAGGTGAGTCAAGCCATCCTTTAGATAATCGGCAGAAAACATTTCAAATGTAACAATATGTGTTTACAACTGTCTGTAGAAAAATTATGACCGTGTTGAAAAAGAAATGAAAGGCTACTGCAATTTGAAATGTAGCACTGGCTCATTACTAAAGAAGACGATGGTATTTCGATGGAGTTGTGCGAGTAGAACGACGTCATACGTACACAGGGAATTGTATGACTTTAATCGAGTTCGTTTTTCTTGGTTTGAATCGTATGTTTTTGATATCTCTTGAGCCAGTTTCTTTCTTTTAATATATTATCATTATTTCACAAAGGACGGTATTCAGTATAGAAAAAACATCATAGACTAAATGATAGCCCCCATTCCAATGAAGCAAACATTGGTCTTTGATAATTTAAAAATATGTTGTGCCCTCACGTTGCAACTGGTTAGACTTATAACGATTTACCAGATTAATCAAAAATATTTTTATTCACTTTTGTATAGAATATATAATCTTTACCAAACATGTCTCTTTTTAAATTTCAATGTGCTTTTGTTTATGAGTAACATCGGGACGAATCCAATATAATGAAGTGATTTTTGACAAAGCTTTAGAACATTTGAAGGGACTCTCAGTTAATTCAGCTTTTCTAAACGCCAGGTTAGGTAAAAATGTTAGAATGCAGATATGTCAACAAGGAAAATTAAGTGCTAAAGCGTATAGCATGTGGGGGGAAGTTACACCGTTATGTAGAAAAAGGTTTTTTTCTTTGAATTCCGTTTTGTAAAGTGTCACCAGTTTTGGTGATTAGAGTATTTTGACTGTGGTTATGCTTACGACTTACAGAATTCAACATATTCTAGTCTCATGAAAGTTATATTGTACGATAGAACTTACGTCCACTAAATAGAAAGAAATAAAAAATGATTTCCTATACAGAAATAATTTTAGTACGAATCGTAAAGAATATTGGTTTATACTTATTTATAACGAAGTAATATACGAATTGTTATCTATCGAAGTGCCAAGAGATTTTAGGCAGATTTTGCCTACTTATTAATAGTTTAATGTTAAAGTATTTATGGCGCAGCTGTCAGCCTTAAAAAACAAACAACTGCGCTGCTCAATAAAACAATTCAGACTGTTTTATTTAGATATAAAATTATGGCTTTTCTTTAGGACTGCACCACTAAAATGGAAATCTATGAAGTCAGATTATGACCAGATACCATACGCTGTACAAATTTGAAGCTTCGGAGGGCTAGAGTACACCTTCCTATATATCAACAAGCTAAGATTTGTAATTTTCAACTTCTTTTCTTATAGTAAATTAAAGATAATGCGAATAGGCAATCAAATGAATCAATGACGAATTTACTTTTAAAATTGTCTATCACAATTAGAATTTTTGCACAGTGATTTCGAGGAGGAATTTTAATTAGTGTCTTATCTTTGGCTATTTATGCTGTTAATTAACCATCACTTTTTCGAAATTATTCATTCTAACGCTTGAAAAATAAACATACGATTTAATAATCGGGAACAGAACTTCTGTTTATCAGAGGCAAGAATATAGTCATAATCTGATGACCTCTAATGAATCTGAAATAAACTACGCTTTTTTTCATCTTTTTTCTTCTGAGATGAGAAATTTTTTTCATCTTACAACTGTTTGAATTTATATAAATAATACAACACATATAACAATAATTCTAGTAATAATAATAACTAGAACAAGTGGTTTGATTTTTAAACGAACTTTGTTTATATAAGGTAGCAATACAATAATAGTTTATTTATGAAACTGGTTCAGAGCCAAATCTAAAACAAATTTCCCTCTGGGTAACATTTGAACTGCAGTTTTTAGCTGTCTATCATCATTTGTATATCGTCGAATGCGTCGGGCTACATGATTTGTGTGAGCTAGGTAACAATTATACTGAAATTAAATGCTAACCTTTAAGCGCGATCAACATGAAACTTACCTCGACGTCATTTTCGTATTTTATGTCTGGCACGGGTTGATCTGATTATCTGTTATACAGCACGGCTATCTATTCGGATGCTGCACACATGCTGACAGATCTAACTGGGTTTGGACTGTCGATCGCTGCAATAATGATCTCCGCTCGCCGAAAGCCGACGTCGCGCCTTCCATTCGGATTTTATCGTGCAGAAATCCTCGGCGCCGTTGCATCCGTCCTTCTCATTTGGGTTGTGACAGGCATCCTTGTCTACGCTTCCATCAAACGCATCCAGGTGGCTAATTAGGCCGTTCTAATAACGGTTGTAAAATCTGACATTATCTGACGCACGTTTGATGTTACTGCAATGTAAATCACTTGAGAAGTAGTCTACATTTATCATTGTGTGACGTTTAGAAACGTGTTTGCGTCACCAGTTCAGAAATCGAACAAACATCTTAACACTTTCATATGAATAATCCCTCTTCAAAATTGAACTGATCCGTTACTCTATCTCTCTCTCCTCCCTCTGTCTATCTCCCGACTAAAGTCGTGTTCGAATCATTTTAGCGTTTTTGGGTACATTTTTCCAATATTCGCTTTTACCTTTCATTTCTGTTTCGTTTAGACGGACGATTTTGAGATCGACGCGAACACGATGATGCTGGTGAGTGCTGCGGGCGTCGTCATGAATGCAACTATGGCAGCCATCCTTCACGGTTCAGTGCCCTGTGTACTTAATATAAGCGGAGGCGGTCATTGCCATTCACATGGAGGCCTTTCAAGTGGACACGGAACTCATATTGGGCATGGAAACGTTGGTGAACAAGGCGTTGGCAGTTTCGGCGCTGGAGGAAACCGTGATAGAGGCGCGACTAATATCAATGTTCGCGCTGCCATGGTTCACGTGTTCGGTGATCTATTGCAGTCAATTGGAGTTCTTATTTCAGCCTATCTCATCAAGAACGATCCCGCCTTGAAGCTGGCCGACCCTATTTGCACGTTCATCTTTTCAACGCTCGTATTAGCCACCACCGTTGGTATTATGCGTGATGCATGTGCTATTTTAATGGAGGTAAGTCGATTGTTTTTTTTATCGCTAGACTATTTTATTAGATGGTATAGTACTAGAAATATACATTTATGGTGGAGTCACACACTGCTGGTATGTTTTATGATTTTTGTACAAGGGTATTGAAATGTCTTAGTTAAACAATGTAGACGACTAAGCTGATTTTATTCTAAGTACTCTTTCAAAATAATGTAACCGCCTTATGTTCTCTTACGGCCTAGTTCATCAAAAGAGCCAAGCTCGACTAAAAATCATTCGATTTCAGGTTATCACGTTCTTCTTGTAATTGAATGATAAAAAGGGGACTATATTAACATAAGACTTGCACTGCCAAGCTCTTGCACACTTACAAATTAGCAATGATTTTAACTTGAGGAAATGCCCTTTAATAGCGCGTTCTTTTCCACTCAACAGGCGTTCCCTCGAAAGCTGAACTATGCAGCAATCAGGCTTGGCCTTGAGGCCGTGCCTGGCGTCCGACACGTGCATAGTCTCCGCGCTTGGAGTCTATCAATGGAACGTATTGTGTTCAGTGCGCATCTTGCAGTGGACGTTCCAACTGATCGCGACATGGTAATGCGTGCCGCCCAACGTCTGCTACGAAAACGTTTCCGGCTATCAGATATTACCCTGCAGATTGAAACATATGATCGGCAAGCAATCGCGCTCTGCGAGGATTGTCAGCTTTAGCAGCGCGTGAAGCGGAAGAGGCGAAGAGAAGCAAATTGCGATACTTCTCTGTTGCGATATGTGATCCAGCTAACGTAGAGGGAACCAGCAAGCAATGGTGATCATTTCAATGATAACTAAAAGCTGCAATAATATATGAGGCCAAAGCCCCGATGAAAATCTGTTACTTTGGGCAGAAGCAGATATAATATTCGCTGCACTGGATATACTTGCCCGCTGGGCAGAAAATCTGCGAAAATCTATTACAAAGAAAATCAGCAAAATCGCGAGCAATCTGTAAAAATTGTTATTCAAGTACATTGGCAGAATCTTGTCTTTCGCAGTGTTTCTTCATATAGAATCGTTTTCGGGAGAAGATCAAGATGCTATGTATTCAACTCACTCATCCAGTTAGCTTTACTGCTTCAGCTAATGCCATATTCGTAAGGGAGACGAGTAAATTCAGATTATTATTATTATTATTTACATGACGTATTTATTACTATCGTTAGGCACAGACAGGCGCTTGTTCACCAATGATTGAAGGTTCTGCGCTGCAAACAAAAAAGCGGACATTTCATAAAAAGATGTATTTTAACTATTTGTATATGACTGAAGTGACGTAAGTGTTCACGCGACTAATCATAGTAGCGACAAAATAAGTGTATAGGATCTGATGATACTAAAGGAAACAACAAATGAGCATGAAGCTGTTTGGAAAAAATGATTGACAGCATGGATCCTCTGTACGTCGAAGAAATATATCGAGTTTAAGCTCATCTGAGATTTCAACCGTGGCAGTTTGTGCAACAATTAAAAAAACGACTTCGGTCTTCCAGACCAGGTTTTCTGAGCTACGCCGAAATAGGCCCAAAATGAAGATAAAAAGAAAAACCGCACAAGAAGACAGAAGACAAAAAGAACGTATCATCACGCAGTTGTCTATTATTTAGTTGGGCATGTTGTGTTTACGGCTATGATGGCTGTGCCTGATAATAATAATAATATGCGTTTTATTAGCATATGTATTAGTCACCGCCGGCCGTAATTAAACCGAAAACAAGATAACCAGCTAACGTACATATCATGCAAACATAGACCGCGCACTGTACTGGATATTCGCGCTGCTTGATAGCGTTGGAAACTAGAGCGAAAAGAGATAAACATCTTGTGTGTAGTACACTTTTGCTGTATGAAGACGCAAATATATAGTCAGATAAAGAGATAATAAATAATGGGTGCGGCGGAAAAGGATAACAGAGGAAGCGCACGGTGGGGGTGGGCCTCTTTTGCGATTGATTAAAGGTTTGTGTTCATGTGACTGTGTTCCAAGTGGCTTCGGCTTGGCTCTGCGTAGGTGTTCATTTGTCGGTTGAGTCTAGTCTAGAAGTATGTTCGCATAGAACAATGTCTGAAATGTCGACTCGTTCCTAAATTGTACCAGCCGTTCGGTTTAGATATATTTTTCATTAGCTAACTGGGTAGCTATATTTTCCATTAGCTAACTGGGTAGCTGTGTGTCGAAAAAGTAGGTAATAATGAGGCGCTTGTGCTGTTGAGAAGCTTGGTTGTGCCTTCCGAGGCGGATTCTGGTAAAAACAAGCCAATGCTAATGGCTTCTGATAACATGTGTTCTTGCTACGAGGCAAAGCCACCTTTAGCCAGATGCTGAGGGTTGTAAACTCTTGGCCTGTTTGTGCGACAGCGACACTGGCGGCTTAATTGAGTAGGACGTAACTATTTTTATTCAATTTACCTTTTCCTCCAGCCTCGTCATGGCGTATTCGCTTCTAAATTGAATTGAGATCACACCCCAATGATTTCATTACGTGGAAAGAAGACAACGTTGACGAAAATGGATTAACACTAAGCGTAGGCAAACTCTTTCAAGACATTGAGTTACTTTTTGACGCCCTATCTGAACAATAAAATAAACTTGAATACCATGGGCAGGCTAGAGAAAACAAGCAAGCATATATATATATATATATATATATATATATATATATATATATATATATATATATATATATATATATTGTCAAGCGCTTTTTGTAGACTTCGCATTTTTTTTACAAGGGTTCTAACGAATGACAGTCACAGGGGCTATCATACTCAAGAACATTAACCTTATGAAGCAAAACAGTAAGCTGATTGATCATAAACGTTGACTACGTTTCGCACATTACAAACTGATTATTATGTCCACCTCTGAGACGAACATTATAACCATACCTCAAAGAGAATAATAGCGGCTTCCTTAGACACATTTGTAAGATAAAGCTCTAGCTTAAGTATTGAGCCGTATATTTATATACTTTTGCTACATAGAATTATATACCTGCGAATGGTCCTCAACCGTATGCACATGTATCAAATATTTCGGAACTGATGAAAAATGTAACTGTGTGTCATCTGTTCTATCAAGCTGTCGGAATGTGTGCGGTTTTTCGTTTTTAGCGGGGGACAATTGGTCTCATTTCTATTTGTAGACCATAACAGTTGACTTTCAAATGAGACAACAAAAAAAAAACTACAATGGCAGTAGCAATAATGGTAGTGTCATAATCCGTGCGCTGCGATACGCGCTGTTGTGAGTCATCCAGGGGGTAAAAAGTTTTGAGGTGCTCCAGGCTGTCTGCTATAGCTTGGGGTGCTTTCTGCAGCAAACATTTAGTGACATTGGCGGTCGTTATGAATGTTTAAGCGCGTAGTTTTCGGTAAACGTTGTCAACTGCCCGTATCACACTGCTTAGTATCGGCCGTTGTGCCGCTCGATACCGTTTTTGTTGGATGACAGAACACCTCGTTTACTTTAGGTCTCTCGAACCTGCCAAATCGAAAACGATGTTGTCATAGACTACTCTATTATGCTGGGTTGTGGGCGCTTTGAAACCATTTATTTTTATCTTTTTGTAAGGCGCTTATGCTCGTTGGAAATAGGACATTTATCAGCAGGAGCTATGTTAGCTCTGACCGATGTATTAATATATTAAGTACAATTTTATGGACTGTTCACATTTATTAGTTAGATGATGCGCTGTGCAAAATCATGCAGTCTCATTAAAATAATGAAAACTAGCAGCTGTAATTCTTATTATAGCCTGCCAGAAATAATTGAAGCGTCTAGCTAGGAGGTGAAAACACACATTGCGAAGGAATCCATATTCATGACCTTAGTTTTAAGTATGAATTATATCAACATTCATATGCTATGAATAAATACGTAATGTAGACCGCGTTTCTATATAATAGATTTAACCATACACAACAGCCAAGTAATTAATCAACAACTGAACACTTAATTCACGAAGTCTATCAACTAGTTATTAATAGCAAGGGTGATTATGGTATTGTTAACATTATGTTCTTCCTATCCTATAATGTCAGTAAGCTGTCATTGTCATTGACACTTCATTTGAATCAGAGTATGAAAATATCGTTTTGCCAGTATTGCCACGCTAGATGACGGTACAGCCTTTGTATAGAGCGCGAGACATACACACCAACTATATATATATATACCAGTATTGAGTCTAACATTGCTTGGCAGTTAGTCAACTGTGATCAACCAGACCTAGAGGAATAACGCCACGAAGTAAGCTGAAATATGGTGAAGCTTCCATCTTTTGTGTACGAATAAGCGAAAACACATTTTAGATCCAAGATCATATACATCGATAAGATTTTCCACATGGCAAAATCGAATGATAATAATAAATCATGTGCAACGTTGTCGTGCTATATCCAATACGATTTAAACCTACACAATCGACCACACACGCCTCGACGTACAGTTCAACTCAAACAACAAATGTGTGGCGAAGATTGACAATCAGATACGCCATACTAGAAAAGAAAAAAAAAAAGATACGATCTGCAATTGACATCTATTACGCTAGATCAAATAGCTGAAATAAAGAAGGGAACGAAGGAAGGTGTACAAATAACGACTATTCGGTTATGATGATGTCAACCGTTAGCGATTTTTTGATGTGATGAATGTTACTTGCTGCATAGTGAAAAGCATGTGACAAGCATCGATACATTACTGTCGATATGGGTACACACATACAGTTAAGTAGACGTGTGTAAACATGATAAAATTTTAACAACGGCACTGAAGCTGTAAGGAATAAAAGGGACATTCTGAGGGGGCTTATGGGCGATAATTCAATAAACGGCTTCAGCCCGGCCGCCAAGCGAACACGTTCGCTCGGCAGCTACTAAGTCATTAGCTGGCAGGATAAACCAGTTCGACGAAGAGTTTGCGCTGACAATTTATACTTGGCAAATGGGCCACTAGAAGAGGCTACTTTTCCGTACAATGCACGCCGACCTGTAAATATATGGGGTTGTAAATGCTTAGCCTTCATATAGATTCACACCTTTTCATGCGGTGACGAAAGTGTGTGCAAGTAGAATTCCATAATTAGACTTTATGACAACAGAGTGGATACACAGCAAGTTTGACCCAAATTGAAAATTAGTAGTAGAGAACAGGCAGTTCTCAGTAAACCGGTGGTCGGAAGTGTTAATAAGTGCTCCCGATTGAATGTCAGTCAACATAAGAAAGGCGCATTGAAGGTAATAATAGTGATTACGGCATATGTAACGACGGTGGGTGTCGACGATGACAACAGTGATTTTGCTTACGACCACAGATACAAATAGAATAAAACATGAGGACTATTAGGGTTCGAGTTTTTTTTCTCTATTGGGGCTTATTAGACTACTGTTTGCGCCGAGTTACAGATATATTGAGGCATCATACACTATTTTTATTAAAAAAAACGATACGTATAAGATAATATGTAACTCTTATACTTACTTTTAGACGATAGTCATTTCACTAATTATTCTTTTTCTACACGTTCAACGTTGTATTCGGGTGATATGCCAGTTCTTATCAATGATATTATGCTAAGATATTAATAATATTCCACTCCGTATGAACAGTCTGATATTGTTTCAATGAAACTCCTAGTTGGATATGTTTGTTTATGACTCTTCAATTCTCAAAAAAGTTTATTATTATGTTTTTTTCTTAAGACGACGCCCTTTCCTCGGACTACATATTAAATTTAGATACTGTTATTTGTCAAAGGAAGAGTGTAGCACCTGTCCTATAATAATTAGCCTATAACAAAGGCTTATGCCTTGTTTAAAACGTCGATAAATAAGAAGACATTTTACTGTGTAATGTATTCACCAGCCGGTGTATTTGTTGTGGTTCAGTCTATACGGCGATCAGCCCTCTATGTAGATCTAATTTTGCTTCGTTAGAGGAAAATGACTTCCAATTCGATTTTGAAGGCGGTAATTTTCAAAAAATAATCACAAAGATCATAATTAAAAAATAGCAGTGCATCTTTGATGTTGCCACTATTTCAGAATTAGTCAATCATGATTCTGATAACCGTAATTGCTTTTAATGACGAGTCTAAATTTTGCCGATCCCACTGCGAATCGGAAATTTGCGATTCAACGGTCGTACCACCCGGTAGCAAAATACGACCATTTCCAATTTACCGACGTGACTCTAATACAAAACTTCTATGTATAATATATCTCAAAACATAATATGTTTTTGAGCTAGAGAACTGAGTTAGTGGAAGCTAGACTCCCTTAGGAACGGATGAAGGTTACTTTGTTTTCAATTGGATCCATTAGATTTTCTAAAACGAACGTATTCTACGATATGCTCTCGGTGTCAAAGTAATCAGTTACTGGTAGCATCCCTGTGATGATAAATCGATAAAAGCTCTAGTATAATGTGTCCATATACACAAGTTTCCCCTGCAACGAGAACCTTATGTGACCTCTCATTTTCCGACGTACATGGTGACGATTCGAAATGAAACTGTGAAAACCTTCGGGCTCCTTAACCCTAAAGCTTCTGATGGGCGTTTTTAACCAGGCTGCTGTTATCTCGTGTGTGCTGGCGTTACAGCCGTACAAATTATAAACATTAGGTCGTAAACGAAATAGGTTCGGTAAGATATTTTCTAAGCTCCCCGTAGTACTAGGTACAAGGAGTTACCCATTCTTTTTTTCTTAAACAGAAGCTTGCCAATCGTGATTGCTCCACACAGACGCTAATCATTTAACTATAACTTTTTGCTGGTTATCATCAAAGTAGACTCATGCGGCTATCATCGATCTCCGTAATAAGATTGTCCGCTGTTAGACATTCTCCTAATAGTATTCGTTCGCTATTTACAACTTTTAAGATTAACTAGCGTATACTGTACCGTTGTCTTTCAAATGTGTATGAGTGTAATTGATAATGGGGAAGATAGAGCTATATGGGGTAGGAACTATATGGGCCCGTAGAAGTATTTTCGTTGCTAGATAATCCAAGCCATTCAAAACTCAGCATTACACTGCACCATAAAGCCCCATGGAGATCTATGGCGGACGAATCATAATTTTAACCTGCCTAATTTGGTAATAAGTTATTATCAAGCATCGTCTTCTTTAGTAAGTCTACGTATTATACATTTGAAACCAGGTAAGGGAGTGCTTCAGCTATACGAAATATCTCGACATCCACTGGAAGTGCTGTGGAAGACACTACAATATATTTATACTTAGCAGTGTCTTCAAATCTTCTAGTACGGATATTGATACAGGCCGCACAGTTTTTGTTTGTATAGTTTCTTTGTAGTTTGACTACGCATCTACGACGCAATCTGCAGATAGTGTGAGCACGGCAGCGGTGCAAGGACTCACCTACTTGACAATAAATTGTCTTACCCGAAACTTTTACTGAGGAATTAACCTTGGCAGGATGATATGAACGTTTCGGGACTCCATTGTAGATGTCCCAACAATGTGCGATAAAGATGTTGAGAGTACCTTTGGCAAGTCTTCTGATCATTGTTCCGTAATACATGAGCTAATGAAAGCTATCTCAGCAAATTAGTTCTAATCACTCATGGTAACAGACATTCTCCTAAAAGCTGACTG